CCCCCCCATCCCTTCCCTCCACAGATCCTGCTCTGATTTCCCTGCCCAATCCAAGCCTCCTCCCCCCAGAGTCCATTCTGCCTGGTTGCTTGGAGCAATCCAACAGGTGCAGCTTTCTCTCTACAGCCCCTCCCCCCCAAAAAACCCCCTCCCCCCCCCCCCCCCCCCCCCCTCTCACACCCCCCCCCCCCCCCGTTGCTCGGAACACTCCCACAGGCGCAGCTCTTACCAGCCCTGGATCTCCTTACCCACTCACCCCAAAACAGCCCAGTCCTGAGCGGATTCCCCTCCTTGCCTGCCTTTGATCCCGGGACCCTGTTCTGAATTTCCCCCTGCCCCACCCATCCAGGATCCTTCCCCCTCCCCATTTTAGCAGGGGCCCCGCCCCGCCTGCTGGGATCCATCCAACAGGTGAAGCTTTCTCTTCCCACCCACCCCCCACAACCCAACCTCCCCAACCCCCTAAAAGGGCAACGCTGGACGGATCCCGTCGGGGGGAGGGGAGGAAAAAGCCCCTACCAGGCAGCCTCCAAGCGGAAGTCCAACAGGGCAAGCCGCTCCCACGCGGTGTAGGAAGAGGACGCGGGCTCTTTCCCCACCCCCACCACCCGTTTACCTGCGCCTCGCACACGGGAGAGACCTCTAGGGTGGCCATCAGGAGGAGGAGGAAGGAAAAAATCGGGTTTTTTTGTGCACGTCCGAAGGGCTGACCCGAGTTTGGAGGGGAGAATTTGCAAAGGCGTCGATTCCGTGAAACGGTTGAGGCGCGAAGCGAAAACGAAAGAGAAGCTGGGTGGAGAGAAAGAGAAACCGGGCAGGGCTTCCTAGCCCTGGGAGGCGGGGTCGGAACTGTGTGGGGGGGGGGGGGGGGGGGCGGGGAAATTGGCAGGCCGGCATCCAACCGGTGCACCCGGACCGCCACCCACCCGCTGCAAATGCACCGGTGGTTTTTGCATGCGACAAGCATTTCCAGGCTCCCTTCTCTGCAAGAAACGGGGCTCGGGGGCGATTCCTGATCTTACACAACCGCCTTGCAAGGTAGGCAGGCTTCCGTCCACGCCCCCCTTGCCCACCCGGAGGCTTTGCAAAGGGCGCCGAGTGGGGCGGAGTTTCTTTTGCAGAAGAAGCGCTCGGGATCACCCGGGATTGCAAAAGAAAGAAATTTTGGGGGGGGGGTTGGGGGCGTGCTGAGACCCCAGTGGGAGTAGTAGGGGTGGGGCGGTTGTTCAGCCCTGGAGGTTGACTGGCACACACACACACACACACAGAGAGAGAGAGAGAGAGAGAGACAGAGAGCGCGTTTTATTTTGGTTAGAGGAGGGGTTGGTCTCTGAGAAATGTCTCAACTCCTGGCCACTTGGAAGACCGGCGGACTTCAACACCCAGAATTCCTCAGGCAGCCTTATCGGCTGGGGAATTCTGGGCATTGAAATCCACAGATCTTAAATCAGCCACGGGATGAGAAATACTGGGTGATAAAGGAACCGACAGGATAGATGGATGTATTGAAAAAATGTAGGTAGATAGATGGTAGAGATGGATACATGATAATGGATGGATGGATGGATAAATAAGTGTAAATAGATAAGTAGATATGTAGGTAGGTAGAAAGATAAGAGAGAGAGAGATAAATATAGAGATATAGATGGATAGATAGATAAATAGATAATAGATAAATAGATGAGAGGATGATGGATGGATGGATGGTTGGATAGATAGATAAATGCAGGTAGATATAGAAATGCAGGTATGAGAGGATGATGGATGGGTGGATAGATAAATGTAGGTAAATTTAGGTAAATAAATATAGATACTAGATATAGCAAAATGGAGATAGATAGTGCAACAGAATTATATTTTTGTCTGTCTGTCCCTGCCCAGAGAAATGAACAATAATGTAAGAAAATGCAGAAAAAATCTTCTTTGGCTGGACTTGTTCTCAGTGCATTTTGTCCCAACTCCTTAGCCAGCTCGGCACCAAGCTTGGAAAAAATATTCTACACGTGTCATCTTCTCATTATCATCACCACCGTTATCATTATGTTCTAGCTCAGTGTTCCTCAACCCAGGCCCCTTTAAGGCCGGTGGACTTCAACTCCCAGAATTCCCTATTCCTCTAACTCCCCCCCTCCTTCCGCTTTGGAATTCTGGGAGTTAAAGTCCACCCATCTTAAATCAGCCTAGGTTGAGAAACAGTGTTCCAGTGATAGCTGTAAAAAGTTCCCTAATTAATTAAAACAACAACAATAATAATCTGCTTAGGTCCTTGGTAAGGACTCGATAACTATTCAAAAATGCTAAACCCAATCTGAATATCTGGCTGACTATGTGATGATCAATAATAATATAATACCATTTCCCAAAAAATATGATCTACCCTGAAAGTAAATCCTAGTTTGATTTTTACATGGGCGCCCAATATAAGCCCTACCCACAAAATAAGCCCTAATTAAGATCCTGCCCACTCCAGAGTGGACAGGTAAAAATTAAGCTTGGGTGGGGATTGGGGTGGTAGAGCTGCCCTATTACTTATCTTTGGACAGTTGTATCCAGGCCTCGCACACCTGCCTTGCCAGCCCGTTTCTTTGGCAGCCGGCAAGGCTTTCCTGAAAGCCTCTGTAGCTGATAACAAAGCTCCAGATGATACAGCATTATCAGCTGTTATCGGCTGCAGAGGCCTTCAGGAAAGCCTTGCCGGCCACAGAAGCAGCTCCTGAAGGCCTCTGACAGCGAAAAGGAGGCCGGGAGTGACGCACACGTGAGGTTAGTCAGTGGAGGATATCCCCCGAAAATAAGAACTGGTGCCTTTTTGGGTGGCAAAAAATAAAAGACAAGGTCTTATTTTGTGGGAAAGATGATAATGATAAAGGGAGAGACACACTTGGGGCTCTGTACCCCTTTTTGTAAACTGGCACAGCAGAGACCTTTCCTTCTTCGGATCCCCATAGAAACCACAAAGAGAGCTTTGGAAAGAGTCCTCCCTTTATTTGGGCCAACTGACGGAGCGCTCCGACTTTCGGCAGGCATTCAATTCTGCCTCGTGGCCTCTTTCGGGATTCCCCGGAGAAAGAGGCCGGCGCCGGGTCTCCCCGGGGAGCACAGGCAGCGGTACCAGCACCGGTAGGTGAGGAACCAGCACAGGGTGGCGATGGCAGCTCCCACGACTTTGTGGCTGTAGTCGTAGAGGTAAACCACCGTGCACGCTAGCAGAAAGTTCCAGAGGAGGAGGAGGAGGATGTTAAGCAGGAAAATGAGGCGCAGTGGGACTCCGGCGGGGTGGCCCTGCGCCAGGTAACGCCGGAAGATGGCCATCTCCTCTACCATCAGCAGGCAGCAGAAGGTGAGCAGGAAGGTGTGGTCCGAGACGTCGTAGCCGTGCCATTTGTGGCCTTTGTGGAGGCACGTCCACTTGTCCGGCAGGCTGTTAACCAGGATCCCTTCCGGCACGGGGTCGAAGCAGTAGCCGGTTAGGTTCTCAATCAGCAGGAAGGCTTCGGTGGCACCGAGCCAGAGCCCGGCGCCCACTGCCAAGCGGGCCAGGTGGCGGAAGGTGAGTAGGATCTGGTGGGTGGCCAGGTAGACCACGGGAAGGATGAAGCCGCCGAGGAAAATGCAGGTCCAGCCCCAGGCAGATCTGACAAATTTTCTGGGGTGAGGAAAAAAAAGGATGAGGGGTAGGGTGAGAATCACCGATCTGAATGGAGCCAGGATGAGCGAGAGGGAAACAAGCCAGGATCTGCGCACACTAAGATGGCCACATTCCACCTGGATGCTTCAAGGATTCCTGGTTCCAGGTAAAACACTGAATTACAGGTAATCCTGGACTTAACGATCACAATCGCATCCGAAATTTCCATCGCTAAGCAAGATGGGCGTTTAGGTGACATTTGGCTCATGTTACCACCTTTCTTGCTGCCGTTGGTAAGAGAATTCACTGCAGTTGTTCTGTTAGTAATACTGTTCAGGGAATCTAGCTTCCTCGTTAACTTTGCTGGTCGCAAAAGGGGATCGCGTGACCCAGGGACGCTGCGATCGTCACAAATATGAATCGGTTGTCAAGCGGCTAAATTTGGAGCGCATGACCTCCGGGGGATGTGGCAACGGTTGTTAAATGTGAAAAACGGTCCCTTTTTCAGTGCCGTTGTAACTTTGAACAGTCACTAAATGAACTGTTGTAAGCCGAGGACTACCTGTATAGATTTTTCTTTTCATTCAATTTATAACGATGCAGCCGGGTGAAAGAATGGCGAGACTTCAGACCCACCAGAGAAGGGATTAAGGGAAAGATATGAACTTTGAAATCAAGGGTAGGTAGTCCTCAACTTACAACGAGTGATTTAGCGACTATTTGAAGTTCCAGGGCTATTTATGATCCGATTTCAAAATCCCGATGGCCGGCCACTCCCATCCCAACAACTGGTCTGCATTTATGGCCTTTTGCAGTGTCTCATATTCACCTGATTTACGACATTGTTTTGTTGGAAACTGGCAGTTCCAACACAAGACACCCATGGTGGACAATAGATTTGTTTAACGACCGCCGTATTAAAAAAAATCAAGTGTCACTTAGTTGAGTTGCAGGGGGCATGGAAACTGAAGGAATGAATGCATTTTTAAAAAAATCAGGCATGGTCATTCGGTGATCTGCTTAACGACCAGCATGACTTATGACCTTATTTCGGGGCTCAATTGCAGTCATGAATTGAGGACTACTTGTTGTATCTGTTATATGAAGCTGTTAAAGCTGGAAGAATGGATTACAGGTAGTCCTCAAATTACGGCCATAATTGAGCCCCAAATTCCTGTTGCTAAGTGAAATGTTTGTTTAGTGGGGCTTTGCTCCATTTTACGACTTTTCTTGTCACAGTTGTTAAGTGAATCACTGCAGTCGTTAAGTCAGTTACACAGGTTAAGTGAATCTGGCTTCTCCATTGACTTTGTCAGGTCACAGAAGGGGGATGGTGGGACCCCGGGATGCTGCAACCGTCACAATATGAGTCAGGCATCTCGATACGGCACAAGTAGCACCACTTGGGCAGTGGGCTGGACTAGATGACCTACAAGGTCCCTTCCAACTCTGATTGATTGAATTCTGATCACGCGACCAGGGGGAACGCTGAAACGGTCATTAAGTGCGAAAAACAGTCCTAAGACACATTTTTTTCCCCCAACGACGCTGTGACTTTTAACAGTCACCGAACAAATTGTTATATAAATCAAGGACTAGCTGTAACCTTGGGTGACCTTGTGCAAAGATGATTTAGGAATTAAAAAGATGGTCAGATTTTAATTGGAATATGTTTATATATATATATATATTTGAATCGAGAGCCCCCCCTCCCCCGTTTCTCGTTTAGCTATAGAAATCAAATAAAATGTAACCGAGTAAATAAAATTTTAACCGCTTTAATTTCCCTGGAGCTGATCGCAGCTCCCGCCACACTCGCCAACCCACCCGCTCACCCAAGAAAAAAAAAACAACACACACACACACACACACACACACACACACGCAATCACTCACATGTTAAAGAAGTTGTGATGGTTGGCAAAGATAGCCCGGGGATTGACGTAGAACTGAAGAAGGGGCCCAAAAATGACCACGGAGGCCAACCACAGGTGGTAAGCGCGACGGAGGCCTGGCACCCCGAGAAGCCAAGCGTACTGGTTGCTCCAGAAAACCACCAACGCCTGTCCCAGGGCTCGGGCCCATCCCGCGCCTGTGGCCAGAAGCGAGAAGGGCTTTGTGGGGGCTGTTCCTTCTGCCATGACCTCCCCGCTCCTTGGATCAGCCCACCTGAAAGAAGACGGGAAGATGCCCCGGCAGCGAGGAGGAACGGTGCGGAAAAAGAGTCGATGGGAGGGAGCGGAGGCCGAGTGGGGGGAACCCAACGTGTTAAAAATGACGCCCGGCGACAGCTGTGGGCATGTCGCCCGAGCTGGGCTCCAACGACCGACTGAAGGACACAAGGGCACAAGGATTAGGGGGACCGGCTGTCCCTTACCGCCTTCCGTGGGTGGAGATCAAGGATCGATTGGCAAGGATCTCAAAAAAAGAACAGAACAGGAAAAATAAAAAAGACTGGAAGAAACTTTGACCCAAAGTTTTGCTCCTTGATTGAACCCTTTGGGATTTTATTCTGAGGTCAGAGACCTTATAAAAAGAAAAACAAAGCAAATTGGTCTCCTCATCCTAAAGAGTCCTCAAATTATTCTTTCTCTCCCTCCACCCCTCTCTCTCTCCTATCCTTCTGTCCCCCCCACTGCCAAATTTTTATTCCCCGTCAGAGATTGGAAGTGGAGACTCAAATCGTTCAGAATAGAGTGGGAAGGGACCTTGTAGGTCATCTAGTCCAACCCGCTGGCCGAGCTGTTGCTTCTCGTGCCATATCCGTCATCAGATGTTGGCAATCCAATTTTGATCAACACCCACACGAAAAAGTGCTTGCTGAGTTTTGTCCTTAGATTCTGAATCCCCGAGGTTCTTCTTTTTCTGCCTGGACCTCATTTGCCTTCAATCTTTCTCTGGAGGATTAAGCGAAGTAGGACGTATTTTTCCACAATTCTGAAATATTCTAAACTTTTGCTTTTTAATGGTTTTGATTATTTCCTCTGGCTTGCCCAGCTAACCTTATCGCCTTCTCCTTTCCGATTTTGTCAACCCAACTTCTATGTAACAGTCACCGGTCAGTGGTGGGAGATCGTGTGCTTTGCGTGCACAAACAGCTTTCTGAAAACACTTACCGGCTTTGTTACTACTGGGCAGTAACACAGTTGAGGAGTGGCAATCCACTCTGCCCGGCTGAGAGTCAGCTGAGAGGATATAAGTACGTACAGTGCAGGGGTGGGTAGGCTGACCGTTGGAGCGAACTGGTTCGCTGCCAGATGCTTGTTGGAGGTACCGTGTTTCTCCAACAATACGGCCTCCACCAATAGGAAGGCCCAGCATGTTTTCTAAGCATAAAATCAAATTAAGCCCCTCCCCCCAAATTTACACCTAGTTTAAAACATGCAAAATGGGGGGAAGGGTGAGGGGACTTGCTGTTAGGAGCGCCCTGCGGGCAGCAATTCCTCTCCACCAGCCGCTCCTAACGGGTGATCATGGCGAAGCGCAGAGAGCTCCCTACTCCCACCAAACACCTTTGCTGCAGACCCAAGACCTTTGGCCCCCGCCGCTGTTGCTTTCCCTTCTGCCCATTCCGCCACCACGTTTGGAGTGCCGCTGCCATTTGGAGCACCGCCGCCATTTGGAGCACCGCCGCGTTTGGCGCTGCCGCCGCCGTTTCAAGCACCGCTGCCACGTTTAGAGCTGCCGCTTCCACGTTTGGAGCACTGCGGCTGTTTGGAGCACCGCCACCACCACTCCAAACATGGCGGCAGCGGAATGGGCAGGAGGGAAAGCAACAGCGGCATGGGCCAAAGGTCTTGGGTCTGCAGCAAAGGTGTTTGGTGGGAGTAGGGAGCTCTCTGCGCTTCGCCATGATCACCCGTTAGGAGCGGCTGGTGGAGAGGGGAGCTCTAGATGACGATCCAAGGGGGGGGAATTAAATCACCCCCCAAAAGACGGCCTAGCCATTTTTTCAGGACTCAAAAAAAAAATAAGGCCCGGCCTTATTATGTGAGAAACACGGTAGGAGTTCGTCTGAATCGGTAGAATTCCACCCCTGCATAGAAAAGATGTAGCATCTGACAAGCACTGCGCGTGCACATGTCTCCGTTGATTTTCGGCCCGTTTGAGGCCTTTTTCGGCCTCAAATACTGGAAGTGAGGAAACGGGCCCATTTTTCAGCCTCCAAAGGCTGCAGAGGCTTCCCTTGAGCCCAGGAGGGCAAAATGGCCTTGCCCAGGCTCCCGAGGCCCTCCAGAGGCTGAAAACAGGTATTTCTGGAAGGACCATTTTTCAGCCTTTGGAGGCTGCAGAGGCTTCCCTTGAGCCTCTGGGAAGCCAAAAAAGGCCTCAAACAGGCCTCAAACCAGCTGGGAGGTGCGTGCATGTGCAGTGCAAGTAAGCTTGGCTGAGGCCCGCACAAATGGCTCTGCATGCCACCTGTGGCACGTGTGCCATAGGTGTGCCATCATGGGTTTAAGAACTTCTTTTGGCACACCACACCAAAAACGTTCATCATCGCTATCCTAGACCATTCCAGACAGGTGGCTGCCCAATCTCTTCTTAAAAACCACCAGGGATGGAGCACCCATGACTTCTGGTGGTAAACAGTTCCATAGGTTAATTATTCTCACGGTCAGGAAATTTCTCCTTACGCTCTGGGTTGGATCTCTCCTTGATCAGCGGCGCAGAAGTCCAAAACCAATCAAATTTCAACCACTTTTTATTTCAGAAAGACAGCTGTTTGCATCACCCCTGAAACAGACAAGGGGGGAAGGGAAAGACCCTCCCCCTTCTATAAAACCTAGATTTGGAAGGGAGCCTCAGCATGGACCCCCCCTCCCCTCTGTTCCCCTCCAGAAGGCAGGGCCCTGGGGAAGGATTGTGAGGAGGAGGGGTGGACTCCTTCTCAAACTAAAACTCCCTCCCCCCCACCCCCACCCCGGCTTTCACACGCTTAAAAGCAACACATAGCTCCTTTCACTCGACCCTCCCATCTATTTATTAAGAACCCCCGCTCTTCGGGTACCCCAAAAGCCCCTTCTTTGCAAGAGTCTCCCCGCTAATATTTACAAAGCGGATGAGACCCCATCTGCGAGGAAAGAGGTCAGCCACGCCAGGGTCAGATTGGGGGCATCTTTTAAAGCTAAAGATAGCACCCCACCTTTCCAAGGAGGCCCGGCCCTCAAGAAGAGACAAAAAAGCGGTTCCCCCTATTTTGGGGTGTGCGTGACCCAGTATGACGGGGCCGATGCGAAGGAGACACACCGTCGGCATCTGGGAGGAAGAGGAAGAGATCGGCAGCTAGGAAGAAAGCTCAAACTGTCCCTCCAGCCACAAATCTCCGAAAGCCGCTAATGTTTTCATGTCAACCTACAAATACCTTGCAAGAATCCCTCCGAGAAAAGAGGGGAAAGCCACTTCAATAAAACCACCCCCGCCCCACCGGAGGATCTTTGGAACGCACGAGGAATCTTTGGGGGATCTCCATCGCTTGGGAGTCGCCTCGCTGTTGCTCAGATCTGGAGGAAAAGTGGACATATATTCCCCGCCACCCCCACCCCCCGCCCCCAATTCCCTGATAAGCTCCAGACTGAGGTCAAGTCTTAGAAGTTGCCCCCGAAAACTATGGAGGTGCGTTGCCGAGACCGTCTGCGGGGGAGGACCAGCTGTTGGGGTGATTCCCCGTCATGATTCTATGTATCCGCAAAAGGAGGAGGAGGAGGTCTCCTTCCAAGGGCCCATCCAGCTTTCCAGCCAGGCGTGAATTTCACTGCCCCCGATTCCCGGTCCAGCCGTCCCCCTCCAACCAGAATCCGTGGGAGGCTCATCTGCTCAGCAGAGACAAAAAAGATATCTTTCCCCTGCGTGGTTTTTGTAGCTGTCCTTAGGATCCAACCAGCAGGATGGTTATCCGTATCCTCAAGCCGATGACACCGGAGGTTTCGGAGACAGAAGATCGGTTCATCTGAGAAGGTGGAAGTCTTCCCGCTGCGGCAACCCCGCTCCCCCCCCCCAAACGATTGGCAACGCAAGAAGATATTTCCCCCCTCTTGCTCTCAGCCCTGAACGAGCCTCAAACTGGAGAACTGGCGGGGGGAGGGAGGCTACTGGTGTGGGGGGGGCGGCCAGCTGGGGGTGCTTTTCTCAGGCTGTTGGGAGCTGCTGGGGGTCACCGAGATCGTCTTCGTTGTGCTCTGCTTGGTGATACTCCCAGAGACACACATTTCCATCCCACTGCGAGAGAGAGAGAGGGAAGGGGGAGAGAAGGGGAGGGGAGGAGAGAGGGAAGAGAAGAGAGAGGGGGAAGAGGAGAGAAAGAAGGGAAGAGAAGAGAGAGGGAAGAGGAGAGAAAGAAGGGAAGAAAAGAGAGAGCACAGAATGTGGGTTATTTATTGTTTCTATTCAGGGATTATAGGTAGTCCTTGAATTACGGCTTGAACGAAGATTAGAACTGAAAGTGACTCACCCTGCTGACTCCGTGACTCAAAGGCCATCCAGAAATAGAACACAGTACAGGTAGTCCTCACCTTAGGACCCCAACAGAGCCCCAAATTTCTGTTTCTAACTTGTTAAGTAAAAGTAAATAAAAGTTGCCTTTTTCCAGTCGCCATTGTTAACTTCAAACTGTCACTAGAGGATCAAGTTGTAAGTGGAAGACAGGCTATGTTAGGAATATGAGTCGCCTAACAGCTATTTGGGTTAGAAATATATAAACCAGGATAAACATTTTAAAACTGTAAACTTTAAGAAAATGCAAAAACTGTAATTAGGTGTGGTTTCTCAAACGGCCATAAGATGGAGCCAGAAACCTGGTTTGTCTTAGTCTGAGTCTCAGAAGAGAGCGTGTCTCTGCTTCTGTATGCTTCTTTGGAGCATACAGGCTCCAAAGGACTTGGAGCCCCTGGCTAGAAAAAGGCACCTTTCTTAAACTCCTTTGGACAGGTCATAAAATGAAGAAATACAACACAGCGACACTTGTTGTGGCCCACCAGAAGAGCTGGCGGGAGACTCAGACAGTGAGGAGTCTGGGGAAGTCCCTGACGAGGGCTCTGCATTGGAGGCAGAGATGGGGCCAGGGCTGTCTGACAATTACCAGCTGCCTATGGAGTCAGAAATCAGTGGGGAAGAAGAACAGCTGGAGCCTGTTCCCAGTCTGCGCATGCACAGAGCTGCCAGGAGAAGGGAACGGTTAAGGAACAAGGGTTGACTCAGGAGTAAAGGCTCAGTTGGAGGTGAATGGTCCCTCCCAGAGGGAATAGAGAGGAGCGAAAGGGGGAGTGTTTGCAAGAGACAATTAGTTCAATTCATTCGAGTGAAGATCTGCTCCTGACTCCTTGCCAAGTATTGTCTGCTACAGAGTGGCATCTGGAAGATATTGGCCTGGCAGCTCTCCAAGCCTGATAAAAGCCTGTAGTTGTAAAATCTCTTTACAAGACTGTTGGCTGGGACTTTGCTGGAAAATTCATTTTAAACTAAATAAAAGAGGTTTTATTGGGATGAGGAGTCAGCTTTGTGCTTTTGGGAAACCGAACACTGCCCCCCCCCCAAAAGGTGAATTCGTCCATCTCCGCCACTGGTTCCCGCTACTCACCGAGCTACTAACAATCTTCTCCTCATACGGATGCCAACTCACATCCCGCACGCAGGCTTGGTGATTGACCAGTTTCTTCACAATGAGGCCGCTCAGGAGATCGTAGACTGAGGGGGGGGGGGCGGGGGAACAGGTGGGCAAGAGGAAGGGAGAGAGAGGAAGAACGTGTAGGATTAAGAGAGCAAGGGGGAGGAAGGGGGGGGCGCCCCTGTTCTGGAGGATGTTGGGGTGGTGGGGAGGGCTCCGAGATTTGATTCTGGGCCAATCGGACTTCAGGCAGGCCAATTGAAAAGGCCATCTCTCCAAATGTTCCAGCCATAAATAAAATTGGGGTTTTCCAAGTTCCCGCCTGCCCTTTATGTCAGTATAATCTGTGAGAAAAGATGATCAAACTCCTGACTTAAAAGAAGAACTAAGAATATCGAAGAGGAAGTTTTATGTGGCTTTACGGTTTTCAGCCTGCCACGCCCTTTTGACAAATTCACTTCTTTATTTATTTGGATTCCACCTTTTATTATTTTGAAAAGTTACTCGAGGCGATGAATGTGTGCAACACACCACCCTCGTGGTATTTTCTCCTACAACAGCAAACCTGTGGGGTTGGGTGGGCTCAGAAACAGAGGGACCTGCCCAAAGTCATCTAGCCAGCTTTCGTGTCTAAGATGGGATTACAACTCAGTGGTACCTGGTGACTGGGCCAAAGTCACCCAGCTGGGCTTTCATGGCTAAAAGGGGGACTAGAACTCATGACCTCTTGTTTTTTTAGCCCGTTGCCCTAACCACTAGGGGTCTGCGCCAGCGATTCCAAGTGGATCCCTGGATCTCCTCTCCTGGCCAATCCCACCCCTCCACTCAAAATGAATTGTTCCATATCTCTTCCTTGCACTCAGAGGGCGCTCTGGCTCCGGAGCCACTTACCTACCACCCGCCCTGTGGAGCAGCCGCTGTAAATGTACTGCTGTCCCGTGCTGTGAGGCGGGGAGAACCGGCAGCGGATTAGGGTGTGCAGGACTCCGTGGCCCCGGTAGGTCATGAGAGAAGTGTCACCTGGAAGTTTTGATTTACGTCGGGCTGGTGAAAGAAAGGATTAGAGATGTCCAACCTGAGCAAGACCGGTGGACTTCAACTCCCAGAATTCCCCAGCCAGCCCTGAGCTAGATTAAAAGTTGTCCTTTGCGCACACGTTGTTCTGATCCAGATCCCAAACACGACAAACCGTCTGACGTGAACTCAAACAATTCCTTTAATTAGGAGCCCTGGCAACCCCCGGCAAAAAAGCTTCTCTCTAATAAGTCTGTCCATCTGGGAGAAGAATAGTTGTCTGCCACATCTATTCATCTCTGCCCCCTGCCTTTTATCCCCAGAGCTAGCGTGGGGCTTCTCTAGCAGTGGTGGCTCTTCTGTCCCAAGGACCGGCCCATAGATTTCCATGCTCTCCTCTCCTCTGCCTTCTGACCATCTGTGCGTCAGGCACTGGACCCAGCTGTTCCTCCTCTTCCTCATCAGCCAATTCCTAGGAGCTATTGACTCTTCATCTGAGGGCTGCCAGAGGGTCCTGGCTCCACCTCTGTCTGTCTGTCTGTCTCTCTCCATTCCCTCTTCCCCCTCGGAGCTCCCAGGTTGGCTTGCTGTTGACCCTGACTCCCATGCCTCCTCTTCCGATTTGGTTGCTGGAGGGACCCGCGGCTGACAAGCCACAACACCTGTATACTTTGCATTCACTCCAACTTGTTGCGTTAAAGGCGGGGGGGTGGGGGTGGCGCGTACCTTTTTTGGGCACCTGTTGCCAGCGATAATCCCAGATCTGCTGAGTGACAGCGTGCCGGGATGCTTCGAGGCCCTCCTGGCCCGAGAATTTGCGCATGTCCCACAGCTTAATGGTCTGGTCCTTGGAGTTGGAGATGAGGTACCGAGCGTCTCCCTGAGGGAATAAGAAAACAGCAGCTGAAAGAAACCATCTGAATGCCTCCATCCTAAACTTCAGAACAAACTTAAAACTTCTTTAACGGCTGTCTCTAAAGGGCCGCATCTTGGGGGAATAAAAGGAACCTTAATTTGGATTTTTTCTTTGCTTCCCCGAACGATTCATTCAGTTTTGGAAGGTGCCTTCCAACAGCTGCTATGTCTCCCACTGGTAGGAGGGCTTCAAAAATTTTAGCAACCGGTTCTCTGCCCGGTTGCTGGGTGGGCGTGGCCATAGTGGGCGTGGCCTAGTCAACCTCCTGCACCATGATGGGGAGGGGGTGGGTTTTCGCGCTCCTTGGGCTCCAGAGGCTTTCCTTGAGCCTCCGGGAGGACGAAAACGGCCCTTCCGGGACACCGGAGGCTCTCTGCAGGCTGGAAACGGGCCCCTTCCGGAGCCTCCAAGAGGTCCGTTTGCGCCCTTCCCAAGCATGGGCCACGTGGGGACTTCTAGGACGGGTGGTGCAGGGCCAGCAAGGGGTGGGAGTTGCCAATTTGCCCAACTGGCCATAAAATTAGCTACCGGTTCAGTATCCGTTCGCCCAAACCGGGGTTGAACCAGTAGCAGCCCACCCCTGCCCCCCTGGGAGTTTAAAGGAGATTCAACCATTGAGATTCCATGCATGTTTTGTTTTTCTAAAGGAAAATAAATAACCGGGTTCTGCGGAATCTATGGATGAGATGTTTAAAAGGGAAAGAGCCCCAAGGATTTCCTTAAACCTGTTTTCGAGTGACCACCAAACATGGCTGCAAAAGCTTTAGGCCAGGGTGTCGAGCCTTGGCCGTGCTGGCTGAGGAACTCTGGGAGCTGAAGTCAGTAAGCCTTAAAAGTTGCCAAGATTGGACGCTTCCGCTTTCGGCAAAGCAGGAGCTGTGCTCACCTTGCTGTCGATGAAGGTAATGCCATCCTGGTGCCCTGCCAAGATCCCCACAGGCTGGGGGTCGTCCTCCCGCATGGTGCGCCGGTCCCACACCTTGCAGATGGCGTCATCACCTCCGGAGAAGACGATGTGGGAACTGTTGTCTGCAAAAGCCACGGCATTCACGTCGTCCTCGTGCGCCTCGATCTGTGGGAAGCAAAGGAAACAGAGGGGAGGGAGGAGATTTCAGTGGGAGAGCACAGGTAGGGCGGCGTATTTCCTAGGTTTGATGGTTTCACCTGCCCCGGAAGGCAGCTAGGGGCCACACTGGGCAACCCAGAAGGGTTCTGGAGGACCTCCCTCAACACTGCTGGGCAGAGTGGACGGTTTCATGCGCTAGCCCTCTGTTTTGTGAAAAAGGAGCTTCGGAGCGCTCACGCGCTTGCCTGCCGCTTGTGTGACCCAGTTCTCAATGGGCCACAGAACCGGTACCAGTCTGAGGACCGGGCATTGGGGACCCCTGTGCTAAAGGATTCGAAAGTCCCAAGAGGCAACTGAACTTTCTGTTTTGTTTTTTTTTCTTTTGAAGGCGTTTCGCTTCTCCTCCAAGAAGCTTCTTCAGCTCTGCCTGGATGGTGGAGAATGAAAGGATTTATCCTCCTTGCAGACAGCTGGTCCTTTGCATCCTTTTTGGAGAGTCGTTGAGGCTGCTTGGAAGTTTATATCTCGTCCTCAGGGTCACCTGAGTGGTGCTCCCGTTTCCTGTAGTCTGCAGTGTTTTCCCCCTCTGGAAATCCACTCCTACTCCCACACCATTCAAAGGGGGTGTTCATCCCAAATTAATTGTACAGCTAAAAGTCTGTAGAGATTCTCAGTCATCTAGTTCATGGTTGTCCCAAAGGTGCTTTCTCAGGAGGCAACTGGATTTTCTTGTTTGTTTATTTTTCCTTGAAGGCGTTTCGCTCCTCACCCAAGAAGCTTCTTCAGCTCTGACTGGGTGGTGGCGAATGGAAGGATTTGTCCTCCTTGCAGACAGCTGGTCATTTGCATTCCTTTTGCAGAATTGTTGTGAGGTGACTTCCAGAGGGACTGCGGATTGCAGGAGCCGTTTGCACTCGAGTTTCGGATGCGGGCAGCACAGGCTTGTCCCCAGATGCCTGCGCCAGTGTTCAGTGGTGAAGGGGCACAGGGCAGAAAGCATCCTGCAGCCAAGAAGGCTCCACACGCACTTGCACCGCTCAGGTGACCCTGATGACAAAAATAAACCTCCAAGCGGCCTCAACGACCCTCCAAAAGGATGCAAAGGACCAGCTGTCTGCAAGGAGGATAAATCCTTCCATTCCACACCATCCAGTCGGAGCCGAAGAAGCTTCTTGGAGGAGAAGCGAAATGTCTTCAAAAGAAAAAAAAACAAAAAACAGAAAGTTCAGTTGCCTCTTGAAAAAAGCAACTTTGGGACAACTGTGACCTGGGTGACTGAGAGTCTCCATAGATATCAACGCCGAGTACCTTAAGCGTCCGCTTATTCTGCTCCATGTCAAACACGTAGACACAGCCGTAGTTGGCCCTGTGGAGTGGACAGAGAATGAAGAATAAAAAGGTCAGTCCGTGGGGTGACACATATATACACACTCACTCACACAGACACAGACACACAGACACAAAGGACAGCGAAGGACTTCGCTAACAGCCCTGCACAGGAGAAGAATGAAGCTAGTCCTTGACTTACGAACAGAGTCGAACCCAGAAGTTCTATGGCTAAGGAAGGCAGTTGTTAAAGTGAGTTTTGCCCCTTTGCCACCTTCCTCGCCACGGCACTCAAGTGAATCGCTGAAGTTGCTAAGTTAGTAACTGTAGTTGTGAAATGAATCTGGCTTCTCCGCTGACTTTGCTCGTCCGAAGGTCGCAAAAGGGGATCGCGTGATCCCGGGACGCTGCAATGGTCCTAAGTGTGAACCATTGGCCAAGCGTCTGAATTTTGATCACCTGTCCGTGGGGGATGCTGCAACGGTCCTAAGGGTGAGTGACCGGTCATATGTCGGCGCTGTTGTAACTTCGAATGGTCCCTAAATGAATGGTTGTAAGTTGAAGGAGCAGAAATCAAAGCATTTGAACTTAGCCGCGGGGGTGTCGGTTTTTGCCTTTGCGCTTCCCTTGGGCCTTCAAACCAAATGCCAGAAATGGGGCTTTGGTAGAGCTGGTACACAGAAGGGCATCACTTCCTGGACTCCAAACAGGAGGGGTGGAGAGACAGGGAGGGAGAGGGAGGGAGGGGAGAAAGGGAGGG